TATTAGTATACTAGATGACGTACACAAAAAATTTTGAAAAAATTTCAGTTTGTGGGAATCACGAAGAAAATTGCAAAGGTCACTGTTTACAACTTTTTTTTTTTAGGCTTGTGATGAAAATTTTGAAACATACGTTTTGTAGATCTATGTCAATTAAATACGTGCTGAAAATTTCATCGAAATTGGTTAACGTTGCTGCGAGCTACAAACGGTTAAAGATTGAGAAAATCGCACTATTTTACGCCTATATAACTTATTAGATTTATTAATCTGAAGATTTTTACATCTTTCGATGCCTGCGACCCACCACCGATTTCGATGAAATTTTCAGTGTGTGTATAATTGACATAGATCTGCAAAACGTATTTTTTAAATTTTCTTTACGAGCTCAGATAAAAAAGTTGTAAAAAGTGACCCTTACAATTTTCTCCGCGATTCCTATAAACTGCAAATTTTTCAAAAGTTTTTGTACACGTCATCTAGTAAACTAATCTTTCTAACTTCTCGAAAAAAACTCAAGTCGTTTGGCCCAATTTTAAAAAAAGTTATTCCGTTTTATAGGGTGGTCAAATATTTATGCACGGTAGTGTATATACGCTTCAAATCCACCTCTATACGTGCACAACAAAAAAGAAGGAAAAAAACATTCATCTTCAGAGAACGAAAAAGAAAGAAGAAAAAAAAAATAATCGAGGCAAACGTCAGAAAAAAGAACATGAATCCATCGTCGAATTCGCATGATCCTCGACGCGGACGATTTCTAAGGGGGAGCTCGACTAACTGAAAAGGATTACGCTTATTTAGGAAGAGTTCTTCGGTCGGTGAAAGGGGATCCTCCGCGTGTCCAAAACAAACGAAGAAAGAGCGAGAGAGAGAGAGAGAGAGAGAGAGAGAGCAGCAAAGGGAGAAAGAGAGAAGGAAATGGAGAGAGAGAGAGAGATTCTCTCAGTTCTGCTCTATTAATGCCATGAACAGAGAGCCGAGGACGAGCGAGAGGAATGTCAAAACAGCGGGATCGCCGGCAGGTGAAAGGGCAGGGTATCCATTGAGCGGGATCAATAGGGGTGGTTTCATCCACCCTCCCGCCGGATGTCGACAAAAGGCGCCAGCTACTCGAAGGAAACGCAGGGAGCAGGGGGTGGAAGGAACGGTTTAATCCTTTCGTGCCACGATTTACCGAGTCAGAAAAATAGAAATGATCGTAAATGACGATGAAAGGCATGAAATGAATGTTTATTCGTAAGCGGATTTCGACAAGTAACGGGTCCACCATCATGGGCGGAAGTGGAAGGTTACCGAGAGTGAGTTTGTTGGATATGAAATGGTTTTATGGTGGATATCTGACGAATCATTTTCTTCTGTTAATTTTATCAACCGATGAGAATATTTTTAATTTCATCGTCTGTTAACCTAATAATTAGGGAAGACGAGTGAATTCGTCATTGAGTGCTTAAAATACAATAGTTTATTTATCGAGGGATTACTCATTTTTAATTGCACTATTATGCTTGTCTGAAAATGTAAAACACGTCATACTCGACAGTTTTTAGAAACGATTACAATTTTCACTCATTTTCATATACTCGTATGTAAATGGGTTCCTTACTAACGTTTAATATTTTAATATCAGATTTCAGTCCATTCTACAGGAGATACTATCGTAATCTTGGAACTATAAAATACTAAAAATATTATTCACTCAATTACCCATAAGATTTCCTATTACATCCCTCATTCCATCATTTCGTAACACCCGACAAATTAAAAAAAAATAAAAACAAATCCAACCCATCAATCCTCCAAATCTCTTCAGTGGCGATTTTTTCAAAGTTACATTTTACCCTTATTCCTCTTCTCCGATATACTTTCATACTTTCTCCATCATAAATATTGGAACTTTCGAACACATACACGTGTGCCGGTGTCCCTGAAGAGGTTGAATTTCATCGAGTAAAAGAATGTACCGAGTAAAAAATGGCAGTACGATTCCAATTAATCGAATCTGGCCCGATCGAGCGGCGAAAAGGTGTCCGACTTTCCATTTTCGTATGATGAAACAGGGTTGGGCGGGGGTATAGAGAAGAGGGAGAGACGAGGATGGTGGTTTTGATCGTCGATAGGAGGCACGGTCGCTGATTGTCGAAGGGGGTGAGAAGAGAGAGGCTAAGACAGGAAGAAGCGGGACGGGGGCCAATCAGAGCGGGGACTTTGAGGGTGTCGTTGCCAGGCAACGAAACACACCCCAACACCCGAGGGGAGAAAACCCCGAGGGGGTATCATCCAGCGATACAGTCGAAGCCGAAAGTTATCGCACCCTTGAGAGACGCCCCCTTTAACGTCGCCATCGAATTACGCCCTCGACGTCCGGACACTTGCGGGTTGTTGCGTTCATGGCAGCCAACCGAGGGATCGATGGAGACGTTCGACAACGCTTTCACGAGGACGCTGAATTTATTTCCACGTTCGAATATGAACGATGGAAAATTTTCAGAGTCAAATTGTTCTTATTATTATTTTTTTCTTTTGGTGGTTTATACGAATTAACGAGATGTTTTTGTGAATTTTATGGAAGAGTAGGTAAATTAATTGTTGATTCGGGGTCTTATGTAATGATTTGAGGAAATTTAGGCGATCGTTTAACTTGAATGTAAACGTTAAATTTGAATTGAAATTTCAACGCGAAGTAAAAAGTTTGCGCCATTGAAATTTGCGCCAGTGTTTAAATATGAGTTCAGAATTCAGCTTGAAGTGATAAATCTGAATCTACGTTCAAATTGAATTTAATTGAATTCAAAGTTAAATTCTAATGACCAACCTGAACGTTGAATCCAAAATCGAGCCTGAATAATTACCCAACGGGAGTCGAACGTAAATTGAAACATTCGCAAAAGCAGTGTGAAAACGGGCTTCAAAGATTATCTGTTCCGCGTGGAAATGTTGACGGAACACACGTTCAAACCGAGCAGTTAATTTGATTTCCCGGTTACGCAGCCCTCGCGATTCATTTCCACCTACCGATATTTTCAAATTTGTACGGTCACGCATAAACTCAGCATCCTTCTGTGCTCGAATAATTATATCAATTAACGATTAACACGCCAACTCCCAACCATGGTGTATCCGGCGATTCATTGAAATCCTCGCGACTCTTTAATCGATCTCTGTGTGTGATCTCCCTTCCTCCTCTATTATCGAAGAAACGAATCATAATCATAAAAGCAGAACGATCCATTAAAAACAATGATCAGATGCAAAAATGTACGCGTGATTTCCCATTCATCGTCGAATCACCGCGAGCATAAAATTGAAATTAATCGTCGAACGACCTCCGATGAAGACGAGAATCGAGGTCAAGATGTTCTCGATAATATCTCTGGACTATCGCGAACAAACCCCTAAATGAATCGTTCACTGTGCCTTCTTATCTGCTTAACAATTCTAAGGAAGTGGAGGAAGAGTGAAATGAAGGAAAGGCGAGAAAAAGGAGGAAAAAGGAAATACTGAAGAAAATCGAAGGGAACAATACGGTGTCGTGTCCCGTTCACGTATTTCGTTTCCATTCATCGTGGCCAGTATGAATGAACTCGTTTCACGTCGATCACTCGGCTCCGTATCTCCCAAGCACCGCCCACCCGTTCACGTATCGTGAATAAATAAACAGTTGATTCGCGAGTATAAAGAGGATGATTCTTCGATTCTTGCCTCTGAACGACGAGGTCATTTTATCGTTGCTCGTAGGAAGTAATCAATATGGTTTTGTGAGCGAAGCATTGCGAAGAAGTATCGAAGTAAATTAGTTTCGAACAGTATAAAAATATAAAAGAAAAGAGCGATAATTAATAACGAAGTTTCTCGGAAAATTCCAATTCTCTTCCAATCCTGTTAGCCTGCCGGTTATTAGCATAATTTATGTCAGACACAGCTGAAATTAGAGGTCAAAATATATCACAGAAATTTTTTACTTTAAATCAGGGGATACCACATATAGGGTGCTCCATAAGAAATACAAATTTCTCAAACTTGCCATTATTTCTTATTCCCTTGAAGAGCAATAAAAAAAAAGAAGAAAAAGAAATAACGGAATACAAAGGACGAATTTACGACGATCTAAATGAATTTTCTCGAAGCTGTGGCTGTCTTTTGTCCGACGTTTGTCCGTGGAATTAGAGATTATTAGCGGGGACTTGGTGGACCATCGATACGGCTTTTGTCTCGGCCTGGCCACAAAGTTTCGCGAAGCACCGCAATCCAACCAATTAGCAACGATTTGCTAAATCAAGCGGCAGCCACGAATTAATTGGTGCTCGACTTTCTTCACCCTACCCCCACCCTCTCGCGCCACCCTTACTTCCTCCTTTTTCGCCCTATCTGTCGTTGACAACAAATACTCTAAGTCTTCTCGATAAGGGAAGAGGAGGAGGAGGAACGAGAAGAGGTAGGAGAGGCCACCACTCGAAAAAGCTTTTTCTTCGTCGCTTTTTCCGCTGGGCGAATCGCGTTAAGAACGCCGGAAGACGCCGCTACCGCGATCCCCGAGATCCCA